AGGGACCTGGAGGGTTCTACCCATGAGGAAAGTGGGCCTGGCAAGGGCCATGTAAGCTGGGCAGCCCAGGTCCAGCACCCAGGGCAACCCACAGCTCCGCTGAGGTTGTCTGAGGAGCACTGGAGTCGCACGTTCTAGTCTCAGGGCTGCTAACTCTTCTAATTTTTTAGAAGACAGAAATCCAGATTATGTGAGCTCTCCTGAGTTTAAATGTTAGCAACTAATTAAAAATAATCACTGTGGGTAGGGGGGGAGGGCAGCTGAAATATCCCAGGCAAAGGAAGGAAGGGGTTGTCCAACATTCATTACATTTGTCCATTAAGTGTTTTTTGAGGCCCTACTATGTGCCAGGTGCCAGGTGTTAGAAGATACAGTGGTTTATAAGACAAACATGTTTGTGCTCTTATAGAATTTACTTTCTAGAAGTGTTTAAAGTCCAAGCCCTGGCTGGTCCTTAGAATATGTACATCTTTCTCCTTACCTTCTGGGGTAGGAGCCCCAAGAGGGCAGCCTGGCACGAGATTAAGATTCATGCTTTCTGTACCCATCAGAATGGTAATAATAATGAAACATACACAGAGTAGGCATTGGCAAGGATGTGAAGCCAATTGAAACCTGTCTATATTACTGGTGGGAATGTAAGATGGTGGAAAACAGAGTAGTAATTCCTCAAAAAGTTAAAGATAAAACTTTTATATAACCCAGTAATTCTACTTCTAGGTATATACCCAAGGGAATTGAAAACAGGTGCTCAGACAAATACATGTAGGCATATGCATGTTCATAGCTGTATTATTCGCAATAATCAAAATGAGGAAACAACCCAAATTTCCATCTGCAGATAAATGGGTAAATACATTGTGGAATATTCATACAATGGAATATTATTTGGCCACAAAAGGAATAAAGTACTAACATTTGCCAGCATGTGGATGAACCTTGGAAAACATTATGTTAAGTAAAAGAAGCCAGACATGGCCAGGCGCAGTGGCTCACACCTGTAATTCCAGCACTTTGGGAAGCCAAGGTGGTTGGATCACCAGAGGTCAGGAGTTTGAGACCAACCTGGCCAATGTGGCGAAACCCTGTCTCTACCAAAAATACAAAAATTAGCCGGGCGTGGTGGCGGGTGCCTGTAGTCCCAGCTACTTGTGAGGCTGAAGCAAGAGAATCTCTTGAACCGGGGAGGCGGGGGTTGCAGTGAGCCGAGATCGCGCCACTGCACTCCAGCCTGGGTGACAAAAACAAGACTCCTTCTCAAAAAAAAAAAAAATGAAAAGCCAGACACAAAAATTACATATTGTTTTATACGCTTCTATTTATATGAAATATCCTGAATAAATTAATCCATAGAGACAAAAAGCAGATTGGTGGCTGCCAGGGGCCAGGGAGATGGGTGAATGGGGATAATTGCTTAATGGGTGCAAAGTTTCCTCTTTCAGGGGTGATGGAAATGTTTAGGAGCTACTGAGAGCTAGTGGTTGTATGACACTGTGAATATACCAAATGCCACGGAATTGTTCACTTTAAAATCATGTTAATTTTATAAAGTTATGTGAATTTCACCTCAATTAAAATATTTCTACAAATTTCAAACTATATAAAAGATTGCTATGCTAGAAAGGTTAAACAAATTATAATACATGCAAACAGTGGAATATTATACAGCCACTAAAAATTTAAGGACATTCTAATAACCTGGAAAATGCTACAATGTAATACTAAGCAAATAAGTAGGATAAAAATAATCTATGTGCAGCATTATACAAATTACGTTAATTTAAAAGTGCATAGAAAAGACTACATAAAGATATATGAAAATATTGGTTATTGTTCCCTCAAAAGATTCATGCTTCCATTTTTTTGAACACCTACTAAGTGCCAGGGACAGTGAGTAAGGCAAATGAAGCTCCTTACAGCAGAGAACATGAGCCTGGAAGAAGGGCCACTAGTTTAGACACAGCTGGGAGGTCAGCAGAACAACATTCTTCTCTATTCTCTGCCCCAGAGTCCTGGGTGACCCTTTCAGGCTTCAGTACTCCTCTCACACAAAGGGGCGGGTGACAGGTGCCCTCCCTGGGGAGCCGTCCAGCCTTTTGATGTTTTCCTCAAACATTTGTACATAGGCCGAAGGCTGCACATCCAGGATACTCCTGGCAACATTGCTTGCTGTAGTGCACGCCTAGAAACAACCTGAGTTTTCATCCAGAGGAATGAGAATTAATGTAGAGTGGCCACCTGCTGGGATACTCCACAGCAGCTGGAAGGAATGAATTAGGCCTCTATTTTCTATTTCTCATCCTGGATAGATTTTGACAACTTAATGATAAGAAGGGAGCAATATGCTCCTCTGCTATCCTCTTAGAATTGCAGAAAGCTCTCATAGTTAGACAGCATTTTTTTTTTTTTTTTTTTTTTGAGATGGAGTTTTGCTCTTCTTGCTCAGGCTGGTGCTCAGGCTGGAGTGCAATGGCGCAATCTTGGCTCACTGCAACCTCTGCTTCCCAGGTCTAAGCGATTCTACTGCCTCAGCCTCCCAAGTAGCTGGGATTACAGGCATGAGCAACTGCATAGATAGAATTTTTAAAGTACACAAAACAGTCCTATGTGTTGTTTATATGTATACATACACATACCCACACAACTCTTTTTTTTTTTTTTTAAACAGAGTCTCACTCCGTCACCCAGCTGGGGTGCAATGGTGTGATCTCGGCTCACTGCAACCTTTGCCTCCCAGGTTCAAGCGATTCTCTTGCTTCAGCCTCCTGAGTGGCTGGGATTACAGGTGTGTGCCACCATGCCCAGCTAATTTTTGTATTTTTAGTAGAGGCAGGCTTTCATCGTGTTGCCCAGGTTGGTCTTGAACTCCTGACCTCGTGATCCACTGGCCTCAGCCTCCCAAAGTGCTGGGATTACAGGCATGAGCCACCGTGCTTGGCCTACACAATAAGGCACAACCTGGAAGGACTGTAACTCATGACAGCGTTACCCCTAGGGAGGGAGAGAAACAGGACTGAGAGCCATACGAGATGGGGAGATTTCAATTTTTTCTGTTACTTTTAATAAATTATTATTTTTTTTTGAGACAGAGTCTCCCTCTGTTGCCAGGCTGGAGTGCAGTGGCGGAATCTCGGCTCCCTGCAACCTCCAACTCCCTAGTTCAAGTGATAGCGATTCTCCTGCCTCAGCCTCCCGAGTAGCTGGGACTACAGGCACATGCCACCACGCCCAGCTAATTTTGGTATTTTTAGTAGAGATGGGGTTTCACCATGTTGGCCAGGATGGTCTCGATCTCCTGACCACGTGATCTGACTGCCTCAGCCTCCCAAAGTGCTGGTATTACAGGCATGAGCCACCGTGCCTGGCCAGTAAATTAATTTTTTAAAATCGGAAGCAAAGACAACACAATGCTATTATTTGTTAATCCTGGATGGTGGATTCCTGGGATATTTGATATATTATTATCTTCACTTTTCTGTATTTTAACCTGTCAAAATACCCTTTTTGACAGGACTATAAAGAGAAAACCACGGATAAGGTAACTGATATGTTTGGAGGCCTTTCTCTGTGCCAGGCATAGGCTACACCAGTGGTCCCTGGATCATCAGCATCGCCGGGGGAAGCAGGTTCTCTGTGTCCTGCACAGAGCTACTGAATCAGAAGCTCTAGGATTCAGCCCAGCAATCTGTGTTTTCACAAGCAGTCGGGGTGATGCTGATGTAGGCTAAAGTCTGAAAACGCTGGGCCATGTGTCTAGCTAGGGCAATGTTAACATACATTAAGCATGTGTACGGTCAGACAGCAATCTCAGTGCTTTCCTTCAGTACCTTTTATTTTTTTAAATAATCTCTCTCTGTTGCCCAGGGTGGAGTGCAATGGTGCAGTCTTGGCTCACTGCAACCTCTGCCTCCCAGGTTCAAGTGATTCATGCCTCAGCTTCCGGAGTAGTTGGGATTACAGGTGCCCGCCACCATGCCTGGCTAATTTTTGTACTTTTAGTAGAGGCGGGATTTTACCATGTTGGTCAGGCTGGTCTCAAACTCCTGACCCGAAGAGCTCCATCTGCCTCAGACTCCCAAAAGGCTGGGATTGCGGACATGGGTCACCTGGCCCGGGGTCTTCAGTACCCAATTAATCCTCTAAACAACCCTGTGAAGGAGGTGCTATTACTCTTCCCATCCTGCAGTTGTGAAAACGGAGGCAAAGAAAGGCCAAATCCTCTACCCCAGGCCCGACAGGCAGTTTGCTCCTAGAATCCCCCTCCCCTAACCACCAGCCTAGCTGTCTCTCGCACGCCCCACCTCTCGCATACTCCAGTTTCTTGCAGCCTTGTAAGAAAGACTTCATGGCCCCGTTTTACAGATGAGGAAACGAATTCGGAGGGGGAGAATGACTCGTCCAACAAGGAGGAAAGTGACAGCGCACGCATGCAGTGGTCTTTGGCCAGGAGGTTTGGGGGTTTGACCTGGGCCTGCCGTGGGAGGAGGGGCAGAGAGCCGACCAGCTGCAGCCGGCCTGGGTGTGGCTCGCACGTCACGCCTCCGCCCAGCTGCCCCCTTCCCCAAGCTGGCTGCCAACCCTGCGTGACCCGGCCCCCACCGAGAACCGTAAGGGCCTTCCCCTCCTAGGCCCTGTGAAACCCCATTCCTTCCTTCTTGTTTTTTTTTATTTTTTTAAAATATATATATATATATATTTCCCCGCAGAAGGGGAACCTGGACGACCCAGAGAAGTGGTGGATCAAGTCACTGCACCTGCCCGAGCGTCCCCTCCCCCGGGCATCCAGCAGTCCGCAGCAGTGCCGCCCCTCACCTGGGCACCCTCCACTCGCTGTCGACCCTTCACGCCACAGGCTACCCGCGGCTCCCCCGACGCTCCCGTCTCCCCTTGCTGCCCCCAGCCGCACCCACCTCCAGCCCTGCTCGGGACCCTAGGCTCCCTCCGCCGCCTGGGACCCCTCGAGGGTCGGGTGTCCCCGGTCCTCTGTGCGCGGCACTCACCTGGGCGCCCGCTCCCCGTCTCGCGGGCAGCCCGGATCCTCGCAGCTCGAGCGCCCCCCCAGCTCGGCAGCCCCCGGGGTTCCTGGGTGTCAGTGCCCGGAAACTGACTTTCTAGAACTAGAGGTGGGGGCGGCGCTCCGAGGGGCTTTGGTGCCGCCGGCTTTTCTCGCTCTGCACCGTCTGGGTTCCCTCCCACTCGCCTCTAAGCCTCTGATGTGCTCCCGGGCTAGGACCGGGGACGCGGTGGCGCCCGCAGGCCATCTAGGCGCCTTGGCCGCGCCCTGAGCTATGCTAACCCCGCCCCGAGTGTCCTAACGCCGCCCCGAAGACTCAGACGCCAACCCAGGATCCTAACCCTCTCCTCGAGGGTCATAACCTCCGCCTCCTGCAAGCAGGAACCCAAACCTGCCACCAAGGAAAAATTAAATTAAATCAAATTAAATTAACACCAACCATCGGAGGCTTCTAATGCGTCCACCAAGGATGCTAACCCCGCCCCTCCGCTCCACTCTCCCTAACACCTCCCGCAAGGCAGGTAATCCCACTGCCCAGCGTCCTACCTCGGTCTCCAATGGATCCCAAATCCCGCCCCCAGGGATTCGAATCCTCCAGTCTAAAAACCCCAACACCTGCTCGCATGCTCCCAAGATCCTAACCCCGCTCGCCAAAGGATTTTTAACTTGCCTCCAAAGATTCTAATCCGCCCAGCGGAAGTATTCGAACTCTCTCTTCAATGGATTCTAACCATGCCTTAAAGATTGAGAACACTAACTCCAGGGCTCCTGCTCCTGCGCGATCCCAACCTCCCTCCGCCTGAGATTTTGAATCCCCAGGGTCTATCCTGCCGATCCGAAGATTCCAACCCTGCCGTCCAGATCCTACCAAAGGATTCCTGCCACAGTCTTCAAAAATTCCAACCCCACCCTGGAAAGGTCTTACCCTACCCCGGAAATAATCATGATCCCTTTCTCCCACCACCCAACCCCTCCCTTCTGGCCCGGCCCTCCCCAACGCCGCTGCTCGAGCCTTCCAGGCCCGTCTGTGGTCAGCGGTTTCCCTTCCTCAGGCCTGCTTCATTCAGATTCCATGCAAAGTTCCTTTCTTGAAGGAACCACCCTGGCCATGCAAAGTTCCTCGACCGAAGGAACCACCCTGGCTTCTGGGCAGCTCAGAGGACTCCCAAGCTGGGGGAGGTGGTCGGGGGAAGTGAGGAGTCGGGCTGGAGGGTGACTGGGACCCTAAATGGATGAAATTGTGCCCAGCTCCAAGCAATGGCAGAACGCACCCTCTCCTGGAAAAGATAGGGGCTATCACCCTAAATTCTGTGTAACGCACCTCCAAAACATACAGGAATCCTACTGCGTCTCTCTATTCCAGTTGCTACCAGCTGACTGGGGCCACCGTCATTTCTACATTCGTTCATTCATTCTTTCATTCATAATTCATTCAGCAATGTTGTGCTGGGGGCTGGGGAATGCAGGGCTTCTTAAACTTGGCACTGTTGACATTTGGGCCACGGGGCCTGTCCTGTGAATGATAGGATGTTTAACAGCATTCCTGGACTCCACCCGCTAGTTGCCTATAGCATCCTCCTCCCTAATTATGACAACAAAATGTCTCCAGACATTTGTAAACTGTCCCCTGGTGGGGAAGCGGGGAAGAACCATAAATGAGAAAGACAACCATCTTACTCTTATGCTTTTGGTATACATGCCTGTATGGGTCTTTTCCCCTCCTCTTTAGCCTGCAGTGCTCAGTATTTTAAAGGGGTCTCCCATCCAAGTACTAACCAGGCCTGATCCTGCTTAGCTTCTAAGATCAGACAGGATGAGATGTGTTCAGTGTGGTATGGCATAGATAACTTTAAAAAAATAGAGATGGGGTCTTGCTATATTGCCCAGGCTAGTCTTGAACTCCAAGGCTGAAGTGAACCTACCGCCTTGGCCTCCCAAAGTGTGCTGGGATTACAGGTGCAAGCCATTGCACCCAGCCTGTATGTGCTTTCTATAAAAACAGATAATGTTTTGAATGTATGTTTAATGTTATTCATTTTTGTACATTCCCTCCTGCCACCCCATCACTGTTGTTAATATCCAGCCATGTTGCCAAAGGTAGCAGCCAAACGTGTAGTCACTGTTTACATCCTTCACATTTTCTTTATCCATTCTCCTAGTCGCGGACACCTAGATCGCACACGATTTCCCACTACTGTAAATAGCGCCACAGTGGACATCCTCAAACACGTCCCTGATGGTCCTACATTAGAATTTTATAAGGACTTGCTTTGCCAAGAATGACAGATGCTTGCAGAATAGCCACCATCCCACTCTCTCTCCCATCATTTCCTCTTATCTTTACCAACCCTTGGTATTATCCACAGATCTTAATCTGAGTTCACTAGAAGCAGCCCCCGGACATGGATTCAAGTGAAATAGTTTATTTAGGAGATGCAGAAGACACTGGTAGGGGTGGAGGTGGATGAGACAGGGAAGGGAGGAAATCGAGTTAAAATGAGAATCATGAAGCCAGTTACCATTGTGGGTAACTGGAGTGCAATTCTGCAGGGGATCTCTGGAGATAAACCCACTTCAGAGTTACTCCACCTGCAGGAGAGGGAGCTGGGGCACTTACACACCAACTCCTGTCGGACACCGGATGAGGGGTACTTCAGCGGTACTGATCCTTCAGCATTTTGGCCTCCACCATTCATGCTTCAGCCACCAGAGACGGGTCTCCAGGAAGAGAAGTGCAGCTCTTAGTAAAGGCCCAGGGGGCATTAGAGGGTCACATTAGCATCAGCTACATCTCCTTCCAAAAGTTTGCCATTTTGATAGTAAAGAACCGCAGAGAGCTGGAACACGCTCCTGTTCATGGACGGTTCCCAAATGTTTTGCCCTTACATTAATGCTGCAATTAAAATCCTCAAAGCTTCTGTCAACTTGATTGTGGCATCATTTCATGAATAAAATCTACCATCATAAATATTCAGCTTGATGAGTTTTGGCAAATATATATACTGGTATAACCACAACCTCAATCAAGATATAGAACATTTCTATCACCCCAAAAAGTTCCCTTAAGTCCTATTGCAGTCAGCTCCTCCCACACTTAGGTAGCCTTAGGTAACTACCGACTTGGCCATTATACGTTAGCTTTGTCTTTTCTAGAATTTCTCATAAATGCAATCATACAGTATGTTTCTTTTGTGTTTGTCTTCTTTTGTTCACATGTTGCTTTTGAGATTTTCCATGTTGTTGCATGTTCTAGGAGTTTGTTCATTTTTACTGCTGAGTAGTACTCCATAGTAGATGTACCACGATTTGTTTATCCATTTATTTGTTGAGAGACATTTGGGTTGTTTTCAGTTTGAAGCTATATTCACTTACAAGTTTTTGTGTAAGCATTTTTTTTTTTAAATGAAGTTTCGCTCTTGTTGCCCAGGCTGGAGTACAATGGCGTGATCTCGGCTCACCACAATCTCCACCTCTGGGGTTCAAGCGATTTTTCTGCCTCGCCTCCCAAGCAGCTTGGACCACAGCCGTGTGCCGCCACACCTGGCAAATTTTGCATTTTTAGTAGAGATGGCGTTTCTCCATGTTGATTAGGCCGATCTCAAACTCCCTACCTCAGGTGATCCACCCACCTCCGCCTCCCAAAGTGCTGGGATTATAGGCATGCGCCACTGTGCCCAGCCTGTGTTAGACATATTTTTATTTCTCTTGGGTAATACTTAGGATTGGAATTGCTGAGTTATATAATAAGTGTATGTCTAACTTTGTAATAAATTGCTAAATTGTTTTTCTTCTTTTTTTTTT